AGCTCCGAGACCTGCCGTGCACGCGCCAGGCCCGGCAGCCGGTGCGGTGTCCCAGACAGGGACACAAACGGTCCCGGTGCCCGGCCCCCGACACTAAAGTGAGCGGCGGAGCGCGGGCGCCTCCCCGCTCGGGGATGGATGGATGGATGGATGGATGGATGGATGGATGGATGGATGGATGGACGGAGTTTGCCACCTCCGAGATGCAAATAAAGTCTCAGCCCGAGGCCGCCGACCGAGTTCGAGCAATCCCCACACGGCCTAAGGCTGGCTCTTGAAGCAAACCCAGAAAGGCAGCCATGCAAATTTTGAAACTAGAAAGAGCTGACCCTAGAAACGGTAGCCAGATAAAGCAGAAGCCCAATTGCCCTGTGTTTTGTTTTGTTAAGAGTTTTTATGTCCTTTACAAGTTCGCTTCAAGTGGATTCAGACACACAATGCTTTTAAAAATACGATCTGACGAGCACATTTGATTTAGATTATTTTAGGTCTGATGATCCACTTGCAATTGGAGGCAAGGTGATTTTTTTTAAGTTTTGTGAAAGAATTTCTATCGACACATTCCAGTATGCTCAAAAGCCATAAATAAGGGGTAAATCCCCTAAGTCTGGATGTGTTTCTAGGTTTAAAAACAATTGGTGTTTTTGACAATTTTGTTACACCCTTGTTATTTTTTGACTGGTGAACTTGAAGACTTTGCTCCCCAAAATCAGTCACAGGAGAAGCCATCATCTCAAAAGCTAGCCTCTGGATTTTCTTCATGTTCAGTATGATAGTTAGATTAAGTATAGAATTTTAAACAATTTTTCTGTACACCTGGGTATGGTGGTACATGGCAAAAGAGAGACGGAAGTATAATAAATATGGCTGGGGTTTGTAGCTCAGTTGGTGGGCTCCTTGCACAAAAGCCACAGGTTTTGTCCAGAACTGGATGGAATGGGGACTGGTATTCCCAGTTGTAGAGGCTGGGTCAGAAATTCAAGGTCACCACCTATACACCAAGTTCCAGGCCAGCTTGGGCTACATGAGACCCTGTCTTAAAAACAAATACAGGTGGGCACTTACTTTAAAATTCTCTATTACCTATAGGAACAATAGCTGACTTGAGGTAAGATGCTGACCAGTTTTCGGAGCCTGTGTTGAACTATGTTGAAAAAAATACAGAAAAGGTGTATTCATTTCTGGTTCACATAGTTAGATTAACTCAAAAAGAGGGCTTGCTTTATCAGTACTGACAGCTATCATAAAAGAACAGATTGTAATGGCAAAAATTTTGTTTGTTTTTGGGGGGTTGGTGTTTTTTTTGTTTTTGTTTTGTTTGTTTTGAGAGAAGGTATTGCTTGTAATCCTGGATGGTTTCAAAGTTGGAGCCCTCCTGCCTCATTCTACCAAGTGCTGGGGCTATAGAAGGGCACCACCACAGCCACCCTGAAAGACTGAACATTATATGTCTCTGATGGGAATTCTGTTAGATGAAGAGTTCGTGCATTCAGGGCTGAAGAGATAGTGGTTAAGAGTACTTGCTGCTATTGCAGAGGGCTGGAGTCAGGTTCCTAGTGCCCATATGGCAGTTACAACCTCTTGTAATTCCAGCTCCAGGGGATCCAGTGCCCTTTTCTGGCCTCTGTGGGCACTCCCTGTGATGTATATAAGTGCATGCAGGGAAACTCACAAACTAAAAAGCTTTTCTTTCTTTCTTTTTTTTTTTAAGCAAGGAGTAAATAAATAAATCATGGCGGTGGTGCATCTGCAATGCCAGTCCCTGGGGCTGGCAAGATGGCTCAGTGAGTAAAGGCATGTCCCACCAAGCCCTGATGACCTGAGTTTGGTTCCCTGAACGGAAACAGTGGAAGAAGACAGCAACAGCCTACTCCTAAAGATTGTCCTCTAGCCTCTACATGTGGGCTACCGAGTCTGCACACTCAAACACTAAGTGTAAGATATCTGAATTTAAAACAAAATGAATCCTTCGAGTTTCCAGCTCACCTGCATGTGAGTGGTGGCTCACTCCTTTAATCCCAGCACTCGGGAGGCAGAGGCAGGCAGTACTCTTGAGTTTGAGGTCAGCCTGATCTACAGAATGAGATCCAGGACAGCAAGGGCTACAAGAGAAACCCTGTCTTGAAAAACCAAAACAGAAAGAAGAAAAGGAAGTGAACCAGAGTAATGGTCATCCATTTAGTCTCCTATGTAACTAAGAAAACATACTTAAAGGTTTTCACAGTCAGTAACTGAAGCACTTCGCAGTGCCATTTCTTCAGCCAGCTTTCTGGGCATGTGTCTTAGGGTTTCTATTGCTTTAAAGAAACACCATGACCAAAAAGCAAGCTGGGAAGGAAAAGGTTTATTTGGCTTACACTTCCAGAACAGTGACTCAAGCAGGGCTTGACCTTGGAATCAAGAGCTACTCACTGACTTTATCCCCCTGGCTTGCTCAACCTGCTTTCTTATAGAATCTAGGACCACCAGCCCTGAGATGGCACCACCCACCGTTGATCACTAATTGAGAAACTGCCTTACAGAAGGCATTTCCTTAACTGAAGCACCTTCCTTTCTGATGACTCTAGCTTGTGTCAAGTTTACACACAAAACCAGCCAGTACAGCATGTTTGCCTATGATTATCATGGCATTGAAAAAGCACTGAAAACTTTGGGGGGCTGGGGAGATGACTCAGAGGTTAAGAGCACTGACCACTCTTCCAGAGGTCCCGAGTTCAATTTCCCAGCAACCACATGGTGGCTCACAGCCAACCATAATGAGATCTGATACCCTGTTCTGGCATACAGGCAAACATGCAGACAGAACACTGTATATATAATAAATAAAAAAATAAAGCTGCTGTCACTTGTGTCTGCATATTGAGTGAATACATGGTTTTCGACATTTCTGGTGGCGAATTGGGAAGGTTATTATTATTATTTTATCTTTGCTATCACTTTTAGCTCCACACTAAGTTCTTATAGAACCTAGTGTACTGGGGGATAATCCAACACTCTTGTTATACCTTAAGAAGAAATGATATGGGCTGGGTGTGGTGGCCCACACCTTTAATCTCAGCACCCCAGAGGCAGAGGCAGGAATATCTCTGAGTTTGAGGCCAGCCTAGTCTACCTATCGAGTTCCAGGACAACTAGAACTACCCAGAGAAACCCTATCTTTAAAAATAGAAGAAGGAATGATGGAGGAAAGAACCTTTCACAAGAGAGGGAAATGGCAGGAAGAGGGGCAGGTTTGGGTTGTTACTATTTAGGCGAAGCCCATTGAGGACCTTGCTGACGCACTCTTCCTTCTGATAGGGAACTCTGTCCTGTGTCTGTCTGCATGATTGGCTTCATAAATTTACATCTCTGATAAGAAAAATGCCCTTCTGTTATCTTCACTGTGTTAAAGAATCTTTTGTCGTTATCCCAAGGTAGTTGTCACACCCCTAAGCATGTTCTCAATAGGAAATATTCCAAAAACAAAGAAAGAGACAGCTGGGCATGGTGACATTTGCCTTTAATCCTAGCACTCAGGAGGCTGAGAGAGGAGCCAGCCTGTGCTGCTTAATCTTTCTGAATGCCAAAGGGATAAGGAGTGTGGGTAGCTTTCCAGCATTCCTCTTGAAGTCACTCTCATAAGCACAGTTTCTTTCCCATATGACATAATAGATAATCATTTGTGTTTTATTACTTACAACTCCATCATATATTGAACTCACATACTGAGCTACAAGTACGTGCATAGAAAAATAGCATTCTTTAACATTTTAAGTTGAACACAGTGATGCACACCTGTTGTCCCAGCAGTTTAGAGGCAGAAGTAGGAAGATCAGGCGTTCAAGGCTAGGCTGGGCTATGTGAGACCCTGTCACAAATAACTGCCTTTAAAAATAACAAGTTTAGCCGAGCAGTGGTGGCGTATGCCTTTATTCCTAGCACTCGGAGGCAGAGGCAGGTGGATCTCTCTGAGTTCGAGACCTGCCTGGTCTACAAGAGCTAATTCCAGGACAACCTCCAAAGCCACAGAGAAACCCTGTCTCGAACCATCACCCCCAAACAAAATAAATAAAAAGTTAGAAGTAGTTCATTTAAACTTTACCTAGGAACTTTAAGAATAGTGTAGTGGTGAAAAGCACACAGTGAAATCTCAACTGGCATTTGGACTTAACTATCCTAGCCTTTTACGGCTTCCTGCCCACTGTGATAGAAAAACACGCTGTTATTGACCAGCACCCTGGCTATGGAGCACTGCACTGTGCTGATCCAAGTTAAGATGGACTGTAAGCATAAAATATACTAGATTTAAAGACATCAATATGAAAAGGGAAATAGAAAAGTCAAGAAGCTGGATGTGATGAGTCATCTGTAATTCTGAGACCTGGAGGCTGAAGCACCAGGAGGGCTGTAAATTTGAAGCCAACCAGGGCCACATACTGAGACCTTGTCTCACCAATGGCAACAAAGTCCTGATAAAATGTATATTCATTACATGCTGAAATGACTTGTATTTTTGTTTCTTCTTTACTTTGTAAAAATGTAGCTATTAGGAAACCCAAATTGCCTGTATCCCTGTTTCTGTTAGACAGTGCCACCTAGAGCCTTAAA